GGTGGAGTTGAAAAAAAGTAGGAAAACATATTAGAATAAGGAAAACATGTTCTTACCTAACTGGGGAGAAGGTGACAAATCTGAAATTGAATTTTTAACTATTTACTTGATGATTCTAACATCATTATTTGCTAAGAAGGTAAAAGCAAAACTGATCAATTAATTTTTATCCTTATATTTTAATTTTTTTAATTTTGAAAATGTTTTCCTTTCTGATTTTAATTTTCATTCTACTAACATGTGTATTCTCATTTTTCAATAAAAAGATTTTGTGTTCTTACCTAATCGGGGAGAAGGTAAAAGGCCTGGAATTTTTTTTAAACTATTTATTGGATGATTTCGACGTCGATTATTACTAAGAAGGTAAAATAAAATAAATTGTTTTGCAAAATATATAGTTTATTGTGATAAAGAATATACTATCCTTATTTTAAAAATATTAAATTTATTAAGTGTTATTTTCTCTCATCATTTTAAAATACTCTCCATAATATAATTTAAATATGTGATAATTTAATTAAAATTGATTGGATAGGAAATATTGATTCCTTAATGATCGCGCGTAGCGCGGTCAAGTTCCCTAGTTTAAATGATATATTCGATTAATATTGATGTTTGATGATGTGAAACTTTTTTCAAGCAAAACTTTTGAAAAGAAAAGAAAAGCCAAATCCATTTTGATAATTTAGCAAATAAATATCTTAACACTAGGTTCCTATTATTGATGATAATTCATGTCATAATTCGTATAGTGTACTCTTTTTTATTCACGCTTTGTTTGTCTGTATTTTATTAGAAAAAATATCATATTCTTAAGTTAAATTTGGGTTATTTTGTTTGTCTTTTTATTGATTTTTTCATGTGTTACACATCTACTCTCTTTTTCCCCCCTAGTAAATAAAACTATCATACAGTGCTATTTAAGACACGAAAATCATACACTACCAATAATACCCTTTGTTAGGAAGAAAATGTGTCATTATATAATAGTGTAATTTGCGATTTGCATCCCTAATGTATGTGCTCTTATATATATATACTAGTTTTTTGACACGTGCGTTGCACGTGATTATCAATTCAGAAAATTTGACTGTGTACATAAATCAAAGATGGTTCTTTGACTGTCCATACTTAACTGAGAAAGGTTTCCCTTTTTTTTTACCGAGAAAACTAAAAATGAAAATTAAAGAATATATTTTATTTGTGAAATCATATTGAGAAATCATAAAAAAAAAACACATAAGAAGCATTTATGAATAAAGTTATTATTTTGTCTTGAGCATTAAAAAAACAAATCGTTACAATTCTCTAACTCTTGAGAAGTTTAATAAATTTGGAATAAGATATTCAGAAGCATATATCTACATCACAAAAGAAATCATAAACAAAAACAAATCAATTTTGACTTCATCATGTTAACTTCATATATTGGAACATTACATACTAATGTATATACTAAGCGAAAAAATAATGATTATATCATCAGAATTATTTTCCTCAAGTACTCGAGGTTAAGAAATATACCCTTTTAGGATAGAACGACTAACTTTATCAGAATAGTGGTACCTTATACTCCCTAAACTTCGAACTCACTCAATGACAATAAATCACACGATTTTTTTTAAAATGCAAGAAGAAGCGCCAAATATTAAAAAAAAATTGTGGTTGAAAAATGAGAAGGATTCCCTCTATTTATAGTCAACAAAGGATAGTATGAACAAATATTTTTTGTGTCTTATCTGA